TACAGTTGGATCTCTAAATGTTCATTTTGTGGGTTCAGAGAGATCAATCCTGTTCAATTTTATTAAAAGCTACATAAGTAGAAAGCAATTTCATTGTAACTTGATAACACGTACAGAACATATTGGCAGTTTTCAAAACCTTTTTTCAACTTTAACCCATCATCTGATTCCAGAAAATATGAAGTGCCTGTAAGTGTTTGGGGATTGAGAAGTTTAGAATTGTCTGAAGACAGCTGTCGCCTTATACCCTTCTGTGGTAAGGAGCAGGAGAGGAATGTTTGTCTTGTGTTATTTAAGCATGAGGATCCAGTCATCTAGGAATGGAAATATATAGAGATTGATGCTTTTAATGAGAGACTATAGTTAAAACCACATATAATCACTCATTGGAAATGAAAGTGATTGTAGTAAACTGCACAATCATTAATGGTGAAGTTGAGATGAATGTTTCCTTTGGGCCTAATGTTGATTCTATGAAAAGGAGTGTGCTTATCCATTAAGCATACAGAAGAAAAAAAACACACAAAACACCAAAAACCGTACCTACTGTGTGGATGTGTGAACTGTACTGTGTGACCTTATCAGAAGGGTAGACACTAAAATGACTGTAAAGCTTTTGTGCAGTATTTATGCAGTTGTGTATTCATGCAGGTGTGTATTCATTTTCATAATATTATTCCCATGTAGTTGTGAAAAACAAAAAATATTTTTCATAAACTAATCTTACATTTATCAATATATCTACAAGGTTGAAACACTATATACAAATTTGTTTTTTGAACCTAACATGCAAGGGTGTCATCCAGGAAGAGTGCAAACGGTCATCGCAAAGACAGAAGAGGAAGAGAAGACCAAAACGGATGTCAGAAAAGACTCTGAAAATTGCACTGGAGCGCAGAGAAGCCAAAGCACAAGGAAAGAATTCAAGATACTAAAGAGTTGAATAGAAGATTTCAAAAGGCAGCACGGGATGACAAAGTAAAATATTACAATGAAATGTGCAAGGAGTTGGAGCCAGAAAATCAAAAGGGCCGAACGTGCTCAGCATTTCTTAAGCTCAAGGAACTGAAGAACAAATTCAAACCTTGAGTTGCTATAATCAAGGATGCTTTAGGAAGAATAAAAAATGATCCAGAAAGTATTAAAAGAAGGTGGAAAGAATACACTGAGTCACTGTTTCAAAAGGAATTGGCAGATACAGAATAACTTCATGAAACAACATATGAGCAAGAGACCCATGATACATGCTGGCTGCTTGCAGGCTGCTACTCCCTGAGCTGATCCAAACTTGGGAAAGGGAGATAGGTTAAAATAGGTGAAAGTAGTATATTAGTTATTAGATTGAATTGAAATTTTTTTTTGGCCTAAGTAATACAGTATTTATCACCCAAGAGAGATTAAAATAACTATAAGAGTTGCTTGTGACTTGAGGGGAATAAAAAAAAATCTCAAGGACAGGAATTCCCCATGATGTAAAAGAATATGTCATATGTCATTTTGCCCATCTGATTATTAAATGAAAAATAAGCTACATTATAAGAAAATTTATGACAGAGTATTAGTAATGGAAATTATGATCACCTAAACACAATTATTGTCATTGTTTTTGACATGTGGCATTGAGTGGGTTGTTGTTGTTGTTATGTGCCATCGAGTCGTTTCCGACTCATAGCAACACTATGCACAACAGCTCTAAACCCTGCTCTATCCTGCGCCAACCGCACTGCCTCTGACACACCCATCCCGATTATCCCAGTCACTGAATCAATCT